ATAAAATGAAGCCGATATTTATTGTCCAGGAAGCAGTGAAGATCGAATGAGACAATGCCTGAGAATGTACCCCATTGAGGGTGACAAATGTACCTCTTTCCTTTCCATATCCAAGGCAGATGTCATAAATTCATGACAGCATTTCCCACAGGCAGGTCTGATTCGGGCCCTGGAACATTCCAGATATAAAGTAGCAGGTAGTCTCTGAAATACAATCTTAGTACCAAATAGGATCTAGGCACTGCTTCAGTCTGTCCCAGAAAACTCCTTGCTGGGAGTCCCAAGACATTTCCAGGGCTTGTGAAACTGGTAGCTATGAGTATATTCTGTAACTTCCAGGCATTCTGTTAGGATACTGTTATCCAAACAGTGCACAGCCGAACTTCAGTTCGTGGGGAGGACATTCATTTCCTTGAGTTCTTTGCCAATTTTTGATGTAGGGAAGTTGCGGGTGGGGGCTCGGTTACCATGGTGCAGAGAGGAGGGAGGACAGTTGGATGTGTGTGTGCGCGCGCCTGTGTGTGCTGTAGTAGTGTGGGTGGGTTGTGCGCAGGGTTGTGAAGGGTCTGTTTCTCTGTGGGGTGAGGTGAAGGCTGTGCTTCTCCCAGGGTTCCCACAGGGCACAGGCCTGCGTTGGCTGAGTGAAGGTTTAGACATATTGTGCTACGGTGTTGAGCCCCAAAGTTGCCTGTGTTTAGTGAAGATGAAGGGAAAAGGACTTTCTTCTGTCTGCCTCTTTCTCCTTCACTCTCCCAACTCATCAGACTGGTCTAGGGCAGCTCCGAATGGGATGGAGTGGAGATGGATTCTCTCAAAGCAGCTCATGGGTCCTGTGGAGGCACAGAGACACCTACACCCACCACCCCAGGGATGTCAGCAGTATTTATACAAGAAATGTTGCAAAGGGGCCAGAAATATTTCCTGGGGCAGCAAAGCTCTGACACATACACGTTGTCTGATAGCGACACCATCTTCTCATTGTTTTATCAAATCGTTGTTTCTTTTTAACTGATGGAGGAAATGGGTCACGTTCTCTTTCCTTCCTCCTTTCCCCCCATAGCTGTCTACACGCACAATTTTCTATTTAACTCTTTGATGCCCCGGAAAAAATCTCATTGTTTTCTGACATCTAAACTTGTCTCTAGTGCCTGTTGACCCTGAAAGGCCATCAAACGTGCCTTTGGACAGCCTCAGGGAAGTCTCTTTTCCCTGCCCCCGCTGACCTTGGAGGAAGAATCCTAGACCGAGTTTCAGTGCAGGCCATACAGAAAAACTGGGGGTTTCTATATTTTCTTTATGCTTCTGTTTCCTCTTGCTCACTGCATGACACCTGCTCATCCTTCATCTTTGCTGATTATTTTAGATTACTTCTGTATTTAGAGGTGTGTGTGTGTGTGTGTGTGTGTGTGTGTGTGTGTGTGTTGAGAAGGGAAATGAAGGAAGAAAGAGGGTAGGAAAGCAAACCTGGGGGTGGAGATACAGCACAACTCCTGCTGGGCCTGCAACTCTGGCCGGCGTCCCCATGAAGAAACCCGGGAAGGCTTCCTAAAGCAGAGCCCTGGTGGGAGAGGCAGGTGTGGTTATGTAGCCCTGTGGCGAGCAGGGTTGCCCAATTCTAGAAGACTCTGAATCACAGGGCAAGGTGTTGGCACTTAATGGAGAGTGACGAGCAATTGAAGCTGCACGTGCCAGGGAGTGCCGTGCGCAGGCCGGCCCAGAACGCCGAGCAGAGTGCCGAGCGCAGGCCGGCCGGGGTGCCCAGTGGAGTGCCGAGTGCAGCCGGCCCGGGGTGCCCAGTGGAGTGCCGAGTGCAGCCGGTCCGGGGTGCCCAGTGGAGTGCCGAGTGCAGCCGGCCCGGGGTGCCCAGTGGAGTGCCGAGTGCAGTGCCGAGCGCAGGCTGGCCGGGAGTGCCGAGCGCAGTGCCGAGCGCAGTGCCGAGCGCAGTGCCGAGCGCAGTGCCGAGCGCAGTGCCGAGCGCAGTGCCGAGCGCAGGCTGGCCAGGAGTGCCCAGTGGAGTGCCGAGCACAGCCAGCCCAGAGTGCCGAGCGCAGTGCCGAGCGCAGTGCCGAGCGCAGTGCCGAGCGCAGTGCCGAGCGCAGTGCCGAGCGCAGTGCCGAGCGCAGTGCCGAGCGCAGTGCCGAGCGCAGTGCCGAGCGCAGTGCCGAGCGCAGGCTGGCCGGGAGTGCCCAGTGGAGTGCCGAGCACAGCCAGCCCAGAGTGCCCAGCGGAGTGCCGAGTGCAGTGCCGAGAGCAGGCCGGCCCGGAGTGCCCAGAGGAGTGCCGAGCGCAGTGCCGAGTGCAGTGTTGAGAGCAGGCCGGCCGGAGTGCCCAGCGGAGTGCCCAGTGGAGTGCCGAGCGCAGGCCGGCCGGAGGTGGGTGTGTGCATGGGGGGTGGGGAGCTCCGTGTTGGAGGTGCATGGGCGGCGCTGGAATTCGGAGGCGAGGGAGAGGGACCTGGACTGTGGCAGGGCGGTAGGGGAGGGCACATGGGAGGTCAGCACACAGCCACCGACAGGATCGGGAGTGGGGCGAGAGGGAGGAGACGGAGACGGCGCCTTAGAGCGAGGAGCGTGTGGGCTGCAGGTGGCCGGGCCTCCAGGGAGCAGGGAGGTCAGAAGGGAGAAGAGATTCCGTGTGGACGGATGAGTTAGTCTTCCACATGCAGAGCTGACAGGCCCGGCAGAGTGCTTGGGGGGACTTAAGGGTTGACACAGTGAGTGGGTCAGGCCGTCAGGACCCCCGGGGTGTCCTTGGTGGACTGCCTGCAGGTCACGTCCTGTAGTAACCGGTATTGGGACCGAGCCGTTGGGGGCTGGTGTGACCTAACCCTGTTACCGTGGAGTGACTGACATTCGTGCCTCTGGGACATGTGCTTGGGGAGGGCCGCCTGTGTATTCACGGGGCAAAGTGTGCCCGAGGAAACCACGTGGAGCCCTGGCCTGTTGGGCTCAGCGGTTGGAGCGTCGCCGGGACCAATGAGTCGCGGGTTCGATTCCAGCCAAGGGCACCTACCTCCGTTGCGGTTCTTCCTGGACCCTGGTTCAATGTTCATTGAAAATTTACCACAATCATCAGAAGCTTGGTCTTTAAATAGAAGTTTAAGGGGCTCCTTCATTGCTGCCACAATGGTTCTCCCCAGTGGGCTTGGCCCCTTCCTGCCCTGACCCTTGCCCTGCGGGCCTCCCTCATGCTCAGCACACACTCCCCAGTCAGGATGCTTTGGGCTGCACATGAGCCTCCTCTCAACTCGGGGTGCTGCTAGCTTCCCAGTGCAGTTCTCCCAAACCCTGGGGAGGAATGTCCGTGGGACCTCCCCCAGCATTCGAATATGCTCAACCTGGAAATAGGGCCAACAGAGAGATGCCCCTGCCCCTGTCCTTCAGGCAGGTGGTGCTGAGATGTGCCTCAGATATGCTAGCAAGACCTTTCTCCAGGCATCTGCCTGGGTAGCCAATTTAACACGTCTTTGGACTGAACTTCCTCCTTCCCTCACCCTGCTCCCTGGACCCTCTTCCCAGATAAACTCTGCATGTAACGCTCTGCTGTTGGGGAAACCCAGGCTAAGGCAGATGGGGTCTTGCAGCTAGCTAGGTCCAAGTCCTGGGTCTTCCTGGGGTCCCCAGATGGGAGTGGGATAGGATGAGGTGCTCTGGTTGGGAGGGGAAGGCATGGATGCTCATTGGAAAGCAGTGCCGTTTCCAGAAGCAGGAGGGAGAGAGGCTGAGAAGGATTGTCCACTGTACACTATGGCTTGAGCAGTGGTAGAAACCAGACTCCTGGGAACATGGTTTACTAAGTGGTCAGGCTGGAGCTGCACCCACAGTGACGCTGACATGGCATTTAGCATTCCTTCTATTTCCACCCTTTAGAGGACACAAAACAGCCACGCTTCCCAAATGTTTAGCCCTCAGAACACACTTGAAGAAGAGGTAAGACTATTATTTTCATGATAAAGATGGATAACCAAGGCAAAGTGGTTAGTTGATCTCCCCAAGCCAGAAAAGAAAGCCACCGCTGGGTTTGGGATTGGGTTTGGGCTTCCTGCCCAGGCAGTTGAGCCCCACCTTTTACTGGAACCAACCCCAGGGAAGAAGGTTTGCCGGGTTTCCTGGAAGGCAGGGGGTGGCATTTGCACGCCCTGTGCTTTATCCGGGTGCAGCCAGGAGGGTTGCAGCTGGTGTGCCTCAGGAGAGGGAGGGAAGAGCAAGCATCCCGAGCAAGCCAGGCTCGGGACCAGCTGTGTCATCGCTCACCATCTCCAGGACAGGACTTGCCACACCAGAGAGGTCGCTCTGACTATTTGTGGACACCAGAGGACAGAATGGAGCTCATTTCTCTACAGACTTGAGTCATGTGAACATACTCTTCTTAAAATAAAAATTACTGTTTGTTGTAAAATACAAAATAAATAAATAGATTGACCCAAAGGTTAGCTGTCATTTTTTTATGTGTTGGTGAAAAACATGATTTTCAGGTGGAATTGCCTCCACTCAGAAATCCGTGATATACAGACAAAAACAGGATTTGGGTGTTTTCTGTTTTTCTTTTTTATGGTGGTTCTGATTTATTTTCAGTCCTTGGGGTAATGCCTGTGGCTGTACATTTAAGGAGTAATAGATAGGGGTCAAAATGTATTTGGCATTAATTAATGGCATCTACATAGGTTCCTTTCTTTACCCCTATGGAACCCTGTGAGCCATGTACTGTAAACACCCTTTTTGCAGATGTGCGACCTGGAGCTTAGTAACATGAGCAGCACAGGGCAAGTTGAGGAGAAAACCGGCCCCTGCCTGGCTGTGCGGACCCCAGGCCGGTGCGGTCGGCCTGCTGAGCTTCTGGGCCTCCTGACTGCACTCGGCCAGGCCAGCTTCCTGCGCTGCAGACCTGGGGTGCGGTGGGGTGGGGGCCAACTGCTACAAGAATCCCACATCACGAAATCATGGGCTTGTCATGTTTCTTTCAAATGTATTTTTTTCTTACTTTTTATTACAGATGTCAGATTTTCCTCCTTCCCCAAAATCTTTATACACGCACACGCATGCATGCCCATATATCTGGGCGGGGAGTGGAGACAGGAGACAGCCAAGTACATGTTGAATCTGAGTGGCTGTACTTGGTTGTTAGGCTACAGTAACCACAGACTGGCTGTTGTGAACAACAGAAATGTAGTCCTCAGAGGTTGGAGGCTGGCCGCTGGGGTCAGGGTGCTGGCAGGGTTCGGCCAGGGCCTCCTTCGGGTCTCAGACTTCTCGTGTCCGTACCTGGCAGGAGAGAGAGGGCGCTCTCTGGGGCCCCTTTTATAAGGGTGAGCCTTATTCACAAGCACTTTACCCTCGTGACCTAATCACTCTCAAAGGCCCCCGCCTCCTAACAGTATCATACTGGGGTTTTGGTTTCAACACATGAATTTTGTGGGAGACACACACATTTAGCCCATTTCACCTGGGAGGTGCAATTGATTCTTGGAGGAACACTTGCTCATGCTTTAACCATTGTGAAAGCTGTCACCGTCGTCCTCAGTGCCACGTGGGCACCAAAGCGTCGCGAAGATGGTTGCGGAGAGCTTTTGAGGGAACGATGGCCCCCCCAGAACTCTCCTGGAAGTTCTTGACTCCTGGGACGATGGTGTCTGGAGAAACAGGGATTCCAGAGTCCTGCACTAAAGAGCGATTCCAAAGAGGTAGATTCTGGGTGTGAAGGAGTGTTAGCCACACCTCAGCCAATTTGTTTAGTCTACATTTCCTTCTCGTATATGCAGACAGTGAGTGATCTGTGATTTGAAAATTCTATGTTCAAATAGGTCGAAAAGAGCTCTTTTAATACATTTGAATTCAAAGGCCTAAGTGCTGCGAGAGCAGGGTGACACACAGAGCTGGAGATCAGCTTTCTTCGTACTTCATGAAATGACTTGTGTCTGACACACGCGAGATCTCAGACTCCGTGGAATACGGTAGGATTTACGCTTTATGTTTCAATAGTCATTAATCTGTTTCTAATGTGTTCACGGAGAAATATGCAAGCCATCTTGCCATTAAACTATTTTCAAAATCTCATGGAAGCCTGCCAGTGTTTTTTAAATTTAGCTAAGAAACTCTCTTGCTCTCGGGAGGGGAAGTTCCAATATTGCAAGGCCACAATCTGGGTGTATTTTGGGTACATTTTTGTTAATATTGGCATCTGTCTAAAGCAAAAACAACCAAAAAATAAACAAAAGACGAGCGAAGTGAAAAGGCTGCACTATAAAAGGTGCGACTTGGAGGACAGAAGCCCAGTTGTGCGAGGTGATGTGTACGTTTCAGCTCAAAGCCTCACCTCTCGTTCCTGCATCAGCCGACTCACCATTCGGGACGTGTAATGTATTTAAACAGAGAGTTTTAACCTTCCCATTGGTGCTGCAGGTGTATTTATTTATACTATCTTTGCTTCTAGAAAAACACTAATACCATAAAAATATTCAACCTTAAATTACTTTCCACAGGCCTCAAGTTTCGTGCAGTTCATATCTGGGTGTAAAGAGAAATCAGTATAACAGTCTGGCTCAAAGGGCAGCGGACTTTGGTTTTCTCACACATTTAGAGCTAACAAATGCCTCACAGACAGGAGATCCTTTCTTTCCCCTTGGCACCATTCTTTCAGTACGGGGCGGCCATGCCATCGTTATGTCTGGCTGATAGCAGCTTCGAGGCTTGGAGGGAACTGTCTTTCCAAGAAAGCAGATGGCGGAATCCCCCAATTTGTGTGCACCTGCATTAAACATAGCTCCCACCTAAACCCTGCTCCCTGGTCTGGGATCTGGTGCCCTGTGGGCCTTTCGAATAAACAACTCCTGTCCCTCCCCAACACTGAGGCCAAGGTCCTCAGGGTCCTCTGCCCTGCCCACCAGTGGGGAGCCCAGGTTCTTCTTTCCATGGTCACTCTCCTCCCTGCTGGCTTGGAGCCCCTGAGGATCCAGGTTGGGCCAGAGTTTGCTCCCAGTATCCTAACACCTGGAGAGGGAGAAGGGTTTCCATCTTTCTGATCAGGTTCTTAAAACCTTCTGATGGCCCATTGCCCTCAGGCTATGGTCTGAAGTCCTCAAGCAGCTTCCAAAACCCTTCATCATCGCCTCCGGCTTCTTTGCATCTCCCCCTGCGTCATGCTGTGTCCCTGGCCCTCTGAATCACTTCTGCTACTCCGGACCTGGTTCAGACCCCTGGACTGATCAGCTCTTCCTGTCTCCCTGGTCTCTACACAGGCCCAGAGTGGGCTCGATTGGGTTTTAGGGAGTCCTGCAACTCCATGGCCCCAAACCTCATTGTTTTGATGGGGAAAACACGTTTCAAACCAACTTTAAACTCACGTTTGGAGCAGTCGGTTGGCTGTCAGCTGGACCTGCACAGATTTTGTTAAAGAAACCCAGTCATACCAGAAGACTCTGGACCTGACAGCTAACCACTCCCTCCTGCAGGACCTCGTCTTAGAGCTTTGGAAGCTTCCACAAAAAGGGATCCGCCCGGCTGCCGGTGTGGCTCAGTGGTTGAGCGTCAATCCATGCACCACGAGGTCACCGGTTTGATTCCTGGTCACAGTCCCCAGTGGGAAGCATGCAGGAGGTGGCCGGTTGATGTTCTCTCTCATCGATGTTTCTATCTCTCCCTCTCTCTAAAAATCAATAAAGAAAAAAAAAATTAAAAACAAAACAAAACAAAACAAAAAACAGTGATCCACTGTGTGCTGCCCTGTTTGGCATGGGAAGGCATTTGGAATTATCTGGGCAAATGTTGAACTTCCAGGTGGCTCCGGTCAGGAGTGGAGTCCTCACGGGACTGCGGCAGGAGCAGCCAGCACACCTGGCCCTGAAGCCATGTAAGTGACAGACTCAGCTCACCTGCAAAGGACGTGACGCGTGGGGCCCACGCAAGCTCAAGCTCAAGCTCGGGTTGATAGGTGTGAAATTGGTATCTGTGGGCCGCGCTGTTCATTGTGTGGCTTCTGCAAGTTCCCACCTTCTTTCTGACCTTGGCAGGGCCCTTCCCTTCCCTGGCGTTCCAACATGTGTCAGAGCCTTGGCTTTGTCTCAAGGTTTCTGATGCCATATAAGCAAACATTTCTCATTCCTCTTATCGAATCAGCAGGTGACTTTCCTCTGGCCACAATGACAGCCTGTTGGGGGAAACCCTGAGTAGTGGGCCGAAGACCGGATACCCCCGGTGCAGCATCTGAGGGGCCGAACCGCGGGGCGGGCTCTGTGGAAGCAGTGTCATGGGTGGAAAAGGCCAGTCTCCGGGGCATCTTGGCCCAAGCAAAGGCAGACCCCGTGTGTGTGTCTGTAGGTTGGCGATGATGATGGCAGGTATGATGAGCCTCAGGGCTGGCTTGACTCTATTTCATGAGCGTTTTCAGGTCAAGTCTCTGGCTGTGGCAATTACTGTTTCCCGAGTGCTAACTGTAGCTCAAGCTCTGTCCTAAGGACTTACACATGTGACCCCATTTAACCCTCACATTAGTCCCTGCACTTAGTGCTATTTCCCATGTAACACACCAAGAAACAGAGGTTAGAGTCTGCTCTCCAAATCCTGAAGCCAGGTCCTTCTTTTTTTTCTTTTTTAAATGTTTTTTATTGATTTTTTATTTTTAGAGAGAGGAGAGGGGGGAGAGAGAGAGAAACGACTATGTGAGAAACATCGATCAGCTGCTTCCTGCACGCCCCCTACTGGGGATTAAGCCCACAACCTGGGCATGTGCGCTGACCAGGAATCAAACCAGGACCTCTCAGTTCATTGGCTGATGTTCAATCCACTGAGCCACACTGGCCCGGCTAAAGCCAGGTCCTTCTGATGCTCCAGCCTCGAGCTATTCTGCCATCATGTGTCTCCCTGGGGACTATGGAATCTGGGCCGCTTCCCCTCCAAAGATGCAGTAGAGAAAGCAAACTAAGAGCATTTTGCCAGAATTTTCTTCAGCATTCTTCAAGATGTGTTACTAGGAATATGGTAAACATGGCTGGATGCTGAAATCCAGGGATAGAAAACCACTGACCTTGCGACCCTCTTACTGTCTCTTTTCACTGCTACTTCTGACTTCAGTCAGCCCCCGACTCCCCTGATCAAACCCCTGAACGGCGCTCATTGCCCACAGGGACAGGTCTCCACTCCTTAGGTGGCTTCCCAAGTCCTCCAGAACCCCTGCGTTGTCTGAGCAGCACACTGCAAAGGGGGCTGGAACGCCCTTCAGCTAAACCTCACTCAGGAAACACTGTCAGACCCGTGTTTGCACGAGAAGGAAACTTGGATGCTGCTGGTGGGAAAGCACTTGGTTGGAGTGACTCAGGACTTGGGAACAACATGCCTCCCTCAGCAGAGCAGTTAGCTTGTTATTTCCTGCAGGACCCCTCTGCTCAGCCTTCCCGGAGCTGGGAGCAGCCTAGCAGCTTGGCTGGGTCCTTCTGCTTTGCATACTTTCTCACCACCCTGGAGGCCAATCTGATAAAGTGAGGGGCTTCCCTGCAGGGCTTCCCCTCCGGGGCAGTGCGCTCACTCGCATGTGTAAAATGTGCGGCTGCATTTTGCTGCTTGAAAAATGTTTATTGAAGGCCTAGCTATAGCTGGGATAGTTTGACAACGTATGAGGCACAAACATTCTTTATCTGCAGGATGAGGTTAGTTTCTGCTTGGGCCTGGTGTTTTTGTAAGAAGGAAATCGCTTTCACAAGCATCAGATTAGATCCAGGAAACATTCACAGGGCCCTGAAAAGCTGATAGAGGCAGAGCACCAGGCTTTCTCGTTGGTCACTACTGCCACCTCCTGGCTGAACCTGTTAACTACATAGCATGGCCTTAGGAAAACTAAGATTATATTCTCTGCTTTCCCCCTGTTTACAAGTAAGCTCAGTATGGTACAAAATAAAAAATGAGAAAAATGACTTAAATAGATTAGTTATTTGTATTTTTATATTGGAACAATGATAAAACAGACACAAGAATGATTAAAAAAACTGGACTAATCTCATTTGAGGCAATAAGAAAAATCATTTATCTGAGCAGTTTATTATACACCTTCCAGCTTAGCTTTGTGCAAAGTAGTTGTTCAGCCCTTATCTAAATTTCTAAAACCTGCCCACTCTCTAAAGCTGCCATCTCAGCAGTTTTAGGGAAATTTACCAGTAATTTTGGAAAATGAGTGCAACATTTAGGACTTCAGTAAAATACAAATTATTGGGTCTAAGGAATGTCTTTAAATTATGCAATAAAATATTAGATTTTGTATTCTTATTGTCATTTCATATTGGTTTTATTGTTAGGGTCGTACTCTCTAGAAATTTAATTCTAAGTTAGAGAAAGGTTTATTGTAGCACACTTTCAATATACATATAACTCACAGACCCGGAGTTAAATTTTTCCAGTTATTTAAGTTATATTTTGGGGGGAAGGTTGTATTTTACCTTTAATATCAAATGTGCTGAGATCACAGGCAGGTGATTTCTGAACTGCACTGAGGATACTGGCAGAAACTTCGCAGAACCTTTGCCCTCTTCTTCCTCAGCAACAGAAACTGCAGATTCTCAGCTGGCCCGCGGCCACTGTGTTAGTCCGGGTGTTATGAAAAACAGATGCTAAGAAGGAATTAAGCATGCAAGGATCTTATTAGGGAGACCATCTGTTCGCGAAGACGGAGGGAGCTCAGGAAGACTGGCAGGGCCACCAGACCGCGGTGCGATCTGACCCCAAGTGCAGGAGGGAAGAAGGGAGGGAGGGGGGAGGGAAGGCTGGAAGCATCTGAAACTCCAGTGTGGTTCTAAGGAAAGTTCTGCTGAGCTCTCAGGGATCCCTGTGACAGGCACATTTCAGGGATGACCCCCGGTGACCCCTGCCTCCTGGCACCCGTGCCCTTGTGTAATCCCTTCCCTTTGAGGGTGGACCAGACCTAGTGACTAGCTGCTAATGAATAAAATACGGAAAAAGTGATAGGATGTCACTTCCATGATGTTGTTACGAAAGAATGAAACTTCCATCTGACTGGACTCTCTCTGTTGCTAATTTTGATGAAGCTGCCATGTTGGAAGGTCCCGTGTAACAAGAGACTGAGGGCAGCCTCCAGCCAACAGCCAGGCAAGAGCTTAGGCCTTCGTGCAATAGCCCAGGAGATGCTGAATCCTGGTAACAGCCACCAGGGGAGCTTGAAAGCAGATCCTTCCCCGGCAGGCCTCAGACAGAACCAGGCCTGGCTGACACTTGAATTTCTGCTCTTAAAGCAGAGGACCCAGATAACTAACTGCACCTGAATTCCTAGTCCACAGAGACTGCGATGCAATAAATCTGGGTTGTTTAAACTCTAAACTCTGCCGTAATTTGTTATATAGCAACAGATGATTAGTACAGTTCTGCAGCCAGTGGTGCCCAAGGCGGAGCATTACCGACTCCTAGAGATGTGCCCGCGTTAGTATTCCCGATGTGCGTGGTCATTGGCTGGGAGCCGCCTGCGGGAAGCATGATCTCACTGCACATGTGGGGGTGACTTCACAGGGCAGTAAGTGGGGCCCTAGGACAGTGACACTCCCTGCAATCAGAAATCTGAGCAGCACATGCTCATGGCTGCTGAAGACACTCAGAACAAAAATTATGTTTCCCTTCCTCTCTGAAAACTTGAATGGTGCTGTGATCGAGTTCTGGTCAATATGGTATATGTGCCAGCCATGTATACAACTTTTGGGAAGGGTCTTTAGAAAGAAGGTTATTCCGTCACTGCCCTTCTCTCTTGCTGCCTGGAATGTGATGAAATGACTGGACCTGGGCAGCTATTTTGGACCATGAAACAGAAGCCATCTACTGAATATGATGAAGCTACAAAATAAAACGGACCCAAGCCCCAGTGATTGTGGGCTGCCTAGTTTCATTGGAGAGCGAAATAAACTTTTAATGTGTGTAAATTACTGCTTATTTTTCTGTTCCTTAAAACAGAAGTTAATTCTAATAGAAAAAAAAATCTACACTTTTTGTGTAAAGTCTAAAGGTTAAAAAAGTAAATATTTCTCAGAGGATAAATCCTGGCATAAAGGAAAGGTGAGTTACCTAGGACTGCTGCGGGAAGGTGATCTTGATTCCGTAGGGTGAGGTGGTAGTGGATAGATCTCACCTTCCTGTTATTGGGAGGGTGTCCCTCTTGGCAAGAACAAGAAAAGGAAACCACTCACATTCATCACGGAGAAGTCTTTAAAAACAGCACCCAAGAAAGCAGCTGAAACCCTTCTACCGTGTGCCAGGCAGAGAACGTGGGCCTCAGAGGTTAACAGAGCTTGTTGAATGAAGAGACTAAGAAGGAAACCAGCTCGATTTTATTATCTACCAAGTGTGTTGAAAACGAACTTTCTCTAAATAAATTATTATTTTTATTATTGTTATTTTTGACTTTGTGGCTTAAAATACTATTTACTTTTAATCTCACAAATGAACAGCTATACTGTTCGGAAAAGCAGCGAAAGGCATGCACCTCTACTGGCAGACTTAGCACTTCTGACCAAGTAAGACACCAGCTTCTTAAAAAATATGCTTCGTGCACGATACTGGACTTCTTTTTTTTTAAGGTGGAAATTTTAATACATTATTTCTTTTTTGAACTTGAACGGGAACCAGATGGATGATCCAGAAAATGACCTGTGGCGCCTGGGAAAGTAGTGGTGTTCCGAGGGGTCGGCGCTGGGAACCAGAGGGGTTAGTGTTTTCACCAATCACCTGGCTTTCGGGGGGCCGGGATCGTGTTCGACTCTTTTTTGCGATCACCAGATGAAGATCTAGAATGACTTCTCTTTCTGTTCCTCTCAGGAGAAGATGATGAACTTGAAGAAGATCTTTTCTGTGGGGAAGAAGAGCCCCTGTGGGACCTGGAGCTGGATCTTGATTCCAACCCACAAGACCTCGAACGTTCTCTGGACCTGGAACGAGAGCTTGACTGCGAACTGGAAGAACTTCTCGAACGAGACCTGGACCTAGACCTTGAACTCGGGGGGAGGACGAACGTGATGAAGATCGTGGATGTGAAGATCGAGGCTTTGAGCGACTGTCTATTAGATTTTCTTTTATTACTATCTTTTTCACTGGCATCAAGATTATATTTTGAGAGATCAGCATCATCTTCACCCTCATCCTCATCTCATTTATATTTAGAAAGCTCTTCATCCTCATCCTCTTCTTCTCCCTCAGATTCTTTATCTTCGACTTCCTGTAGAAATAGACGCTGGACCAACTGCCTTTCTTCTGCACTTTTTCTTTTTACGTTGAAACTCATCATATCCACCATCAGATTCTTCTCTTTCTATATAGTCAACATTTTCTCTTTCATTCAAGCCGCCACCGTATGCTGTCCTTTCTTCTGACTTAGCATACTCTGGAATATTACACACGTTACACTCTGCTCTTCGGGCCCAATTCCGTTACCGCAGGTCTTCCCCTGCCAGTCATGAGCTCGAAACAGGCCTGGGCTCTGTTCTGCCCGAGTCTTTCCCGTTTCAGTGCCCTTGCTTCATCATCGTGGCCTCACTTGTCCCCCGACCACATCTGTTGCAGCTGGTTCTTCAGGGCGAATCCAGTCGCCGTCACTGACTCGGAAGTTCTTGGACGTCCTGAGCACCGCCACCACAGCCACCGCAGCGGCGTCTTCACTAAGCGGACTGTTATAAGCTTTTAATGCTTGAGAACAGAAAAAATGTTACCCTTTGTCAGGCTTGTCATTGATTCAACCCAGAACCATGCTTTGGCCATGGCCCAGGGCGGGTGTTTTCCGGAAGGGTATGGTGGTTCTCTCTGATGACTTTCAAAACATGAATTTCCTCGTCAGACCTTTTCGGCCGTATTGACCGTGGCTCTTCTCACCGCGTGTGTTTCAGGGGCACTGGGCGTCAGCCAGTCCGTGCTTACTGAGGGTCCCGTGGGCTGGGCGGCAGCGTGGGAGCCGGGCCTCGTCTGGCCTTGGCTCTGCTGCCCAACTGTGTGCGTTGCCCTGGGCGAGGGCTCGCTCTGTGAGACTCCTTTGCGACCTGGAGTCAGGAGTCACACGGCCCCTAGCGTGTGGGCTCCTGTGCGGGTTCAGCGACCGTGAAGTCTCGGGGGCTCAGCGGAGTTCGGGGCGTGTTGTAAACACGTGGTAAGCATCAGCTGTTACTGTTAATACTGACACCCAGCCCCAGTCCTGTGCTGTCCAGTGTGGTGTGCACTGGTCACATGGAGCCATTCCACACTCAAAACGAGGCTGGTCCAAACTGGATGGGCTGCAAGTGTAAAATACAGACCGGATTGTGAACAAAACAAGAATGTAAAATATTTCCTTGATAATTTTTCAAAATATTGATTACATGTTGAAATTATAGTTTTATATATGTTGTATTAAATAAAATGTACTATTAAAATTAATTTCACTTGTTTCTATTTGAGGGCACAAAGTGGGGGTCTTTAAGGAGGTTCAAGCAGACAAGTGGCAAGCCAGATGTGTGCTTTAGAAAGATCTCTTTGATTACACTGTGGAGGTCTAGTTCTGGATAACATGAATTAAACACCCTCCGCCCGGCCTCACCTACCGAAGTCAGCTATAACACCAGGACAGGATGCACGAGCAGCTATTTGAGGACTCTGAAGGCTAGAAAGTAGCAAGTGGATTGGGAAAGAGGGTCAGCCTCTGAAGGGCCTCTAAACTGGCAGCGAGCTCACATTTCCCTGTCTGATATTTCCTGGACTCAGCATAGCCCCAAATCTGAAAAGCGCACCAGCACAGAGAAAGATCTAGGGGAAGCAGCTGGCTCAGGTCTGAGGACTGCAAGAGGGATCTCCTAGTGCGAGAGGGAGAAAGCCCACATATTGTCCCCTCGCCCATTCTCTTACATCTCGGCTCCTTAGCAAGCCTGAGGTGGCAGCAGGGACAGTCATAGCCAAGGGGAGCCCACAACCCTGAGGGAGGGAAACTTCCTCTCTAGTTGGAGGAGCTGTGGTCCCAAGACCATGGCTGAATACTTGTTGTTTTTCTTCCATTGCTCAGCCCCAGACAGATTCAGTTGCAGCAAGCGTGTGGCAGAATGAGTAAACAAAGCCCCAGCCTTCTGGCCGGAGACTGAAGAGAAGAGCCCCAGGGGACCAGAAATGCTGGGGAGACAATGGAGAGGAAGGAGCTCAGAAAAGCAACCTCATACAGTTGTTTAGGAACCCCCAGGCTCCTCCCCATACTGCACAGCATAGATCTGACCCTAGACAGAATGTCAGGGACTTTTGAGACCCAAACCATGCCATAGACCACAGTTTATTACCCAGGCCACTCACTGGGGGCACACATGTAGAAACATTTGAATAGCACTGCAAAAACTTTAAAAATGGTATTGGCAGCCCGGCCACTGTGACTCAGTGGTTGAGTACTGTCCCACGCACCAAGAGGTGGCCACTAGTTCGATTCCAGGTCAGGGCACATGCCTGGGTTGTGAGCTCGCTCAGCAGCAGGGGGCATGCAGGAGGCAGCAGATGGAGGTTTCTCTTGTCTATGCTTTTTCCTCTCTCTTCCTCTCCCTTCCTCTTTCTCCAAAATC